TGGGGATAACCTTGAAGCTACAAAGGCATCCCATTCAGATTTATCTATGAAGTTATAAAGCTGAGGGGGCTCTTTTAACTTCTCCTTCTCATTTGCAAATGGAAGGATAAACTGTCTAGTTAAGGTAGCCACTTGAACAGCTTCCCAAATCTGCTCCTTCAGGTCCTTGGGCAATTAAGTCCATTTCTTGTCCATAAGAGGGACTCTGGTGCTTGTCAAATCACCAATGTAACTCTGCATCTCAATAGCAGCTTTGCCATGTGGTCTGCCACTTTTATTGTACTCAACCACAGGCTTAATCTTTTGGATTTTCCTCTTCACAACACGGCTCATTGTGTTGATACGGCAAGTCGATTTCGTCACTTCATCAAATGTTGCAGAGCATGGGTCGACGGCGACGGCGGAGAAGCTCCTGGGTTCGACGGTGGAGGCGGCAGGGTCTGATTTGGGGCGGAGTAAGGGCTAATTGCTTGGAACATATTTGGATTCAGCCATTTGTGCCTTTGAAACTGCAATGTCCTTGCCTTGACCTTTTGCAGCTTGAGCCTCCTTACTTTGTGATTTCAAAACCATGTTTAGAGAGAAGTACAAACTGCAAGAAAAACAACGACGGTTAGGTAAAATACAGACGTAAAATGAAAGTTCAGACGACGGCAAACCAGTAGAACCGTCGTGCTAATCTATAGAAACATGGATGTGCTAATATGACGTGGTCATTAACTTAAGACGACGGTAATTAAATACAACTGTCGTCGTATTATAAGTTCATAAATAAAAAAACTGCCCAGTTTTTTCTCTCCACGTTCAAATAAGACAACGGTTTTCTCTTTCAAACGACGTATTTATTAACACTCCACATCTATTATTATGAACAGTCGTGCTATTAAAATAGCACGAATTTAATTACCGTCGTGGTGTATCAACAAGAAAATCAAATTCGATAAAAATCCGTCGTCCTCACATGAACTGCGAGTGGGAACAGTGAAAGATTTGGCCTTTTCATACTCTAGTCTTGTTTCAAACATCAGTGTGACTCGTTCTTTTAAAAAAAAAAAAAAACTTCAAATGAAAGGGAAAGTGAAGAAAAAAAAACGGAGTGAGAAAATACCTTTGGCTTGCAAAGAAAGTTTTCTCTGAAATAAATTTTGGAGACGAAGACGAGGAAGAACGTAAAAGAGAGGGAAACTGAGAAATAGACACGCAGCTTTTCGGAGCTGAGAGGGAAACTGAGAGAAAACTGAAAATTTTAGAGAGAACGTAAAAGTTTAGGTCAGGTGACCAAAAAGTTTATATAGTGTCCCGAAGATAACGACAACGACTGTAATCATAAAAAACCGCCCTAGTATGTACTTACCACGACATTAAAATAACATCAACCGACGTGGTTAGTAAAAAAGCCTTTTGACTTTTTGTATTCCAAAAACAACGTGGTTAGTTGGGCGCTACACATCAAAAGTTTACCTTTAAATAAGTAATATTATAAGTTACCACATTGTTTTTGTATATTAAACCGATGTGGTTTTCAAAAACCTCGTTGACTTAATTTTAATAACCGACATTGTTTGTATGTTTAATACGTCCTACTTTTTTACAGAACCGACGTTGATTCGTTATGAAATGGCGTTATTTTAAATGTAACCGACGTAGATATGAAATTTTTTTTATAAATTGAGTTTTTTTCCACGATTTCTTTTCAATTAGGGTTCCAATTTCTTCTTGCCCTCTATCTCACCTCTTAGGAGGCAATTGTTTTGGATGCTGATGTGTGTGTATTTGTGTCTCATTTGAGACACAAATACACATACATCATCAATCTCTAAAATATTGTCTCTCTGAATGCAAATCTGTGGCTGCCGTCATCAAATTTTAGAGGCAATTGCTTGGATGTTGATGTGTGTGTGCGTTAGTGTAGATACACAAACACACACACACATCATCAACATCCAAAAAATTGCCTTTCTAAATGCAAATCTGTGGCTGCCGTCATTAAATTTTAGAGGCAAATTTTTGGATGTTGATGTGTATGTGCCTTTGTGTCTCTCAAAGACACGAAGACACATACATCATCAACCTCTAAAATATTGCCTTTTTGTGGTCCGATTATGATGAGGAACAGAGTTCCATCTGGTAAGATTTCGCAACTCTTGGGATCTCAGATCTAATTCTGTCTGCTGTTTTCTATATAAACCGTTGTGGTTATTCTCAATTCTTGACATTAAGTTGATCCACTGACGTAGGATGACAAAATTCAAGAAAAAAAAAATACGGTTAACACGACGGTTTAGATATAAGGTCGGACGTATAAAGTGAATAAATACGACTGTAATTTTAACTTCACGACTTATATCTTGGATCTCAGAAAAATCTATTCTGTCAGCGGTTTTCTATATAAACCGTCATGGTTATTCTCAATTCTTGTAATTAAGTTTGTCTACCGTCGTAGGATACCAAAATCCAAGAAATAAATAGTAAAAAATAATGTAATTAAGACAACCGTTTAGGTATAAGGGTAGACATATAAAGTCAAAAATACGATGGTAATTTTAACTTCACGACATAGTAAATTTTATTACACGGCGTTAATTGAACAAACCAATGTGGTTAGAGTTAAAGATACCGTTGTAGTATGGAACATGAAATAAGTCGATAAAATTATATTTTACGTCGTTGTACATGTATTTAAGACGGCGGTATTTTGTAATATACCGCCGAAATTATGGGACATCGGATACAAAAACTTGGTTGTGGTTATTGTGGAGAAAAGACGGCGGCTGTTTCTTTAAACCATCGTCTTTACTTTCTACGTCGGTTGATTCATACCTTATGCCGTTCTTTTTGGGCTCCGAGTTTACTCTGAAGAAAACTTTTTTCAATAAGACGTCGCTTTTTTAAAATAGGTGTGTCGTGTTTTAAAAACAACCATTGGATTCCCCATTTTTAAGGTGTTTAAGTTATTCTTACACAGTGGTGTCATAAAACCGTCGTCTTTTCAAACACAACGACGGTTTTCCATTAAACCGTCGTTTTTTTCTGGTCGTCTTTTTCACTTTTTGTAGTAGTGTTCACTACGATCTTCCATATATATTTACCGTCGTCTCAAAACCACACAAAAGGCATTTCAGTTTAAATATCTGTTGTGAAAGTTCTTCTGAACGTCGGTAAGCTGATTCCTGTTATCGTCTAACAAACATATGCACGACAATATCATTGTTATCAGTGCATCGTATTCACGACGGAGTTGCTCATAGAAGCGGCATTTCAAATATAATAACACGATGATAAAGGGTACAAAACGATGTATTTAACGACTTCATTATGACCTTCCATATACATTTACCGTTATCTATTAGAACCACAAAAGGTGTTTCAATTTAAATATCTGTCGTTAAAGTTCTTTTGAACGTCGATAAGCTGATCCTTTTCGTCGTCTAACAGACATACACACAATCATATCGGTGTTATTAGCGTCGTATAGAAGGAGGAACCACGTCTATATTTATATTATTCGTGTCGTGGTAAGTTAAGTAATAACGATGGCCATATAAATACTAGGGTCGTAGTAGATCATAATAACATCGTTCTTTCCATATTTAAAGCCGTTACTACTATATTTGCACATCGTTCAATACCATGGTAGTTGATTTTAAAGTACTGTTGTGATAGTGATTATGCACGACAGTATGCTAATAGTTTTTGTTGTGGTTACTCTATGTTATAGCGAGAGGTGGATAAATTGTTCTAGGTTATCTCCTTCAGACAACGTGAAGTTTCTAGAAGCATCGTCTATGCTTATCGAAGTTGGCCTTTTTTGTTGTTTTTATATTAATTAGACATCGATTTTTAGTTAGAGATGATGTAGTATGTTGTAATAACGGCGGTAATTTACTGTCGTGGTTTTATGCATCAAAAGATGGCGGTCGATTTCACGATGATGTAAAAAGCGTCTACACGATGGTGGATTCCCGTTGTCTATTGCGATTTTTGTAGTAGTGTTTTAACCTTATAGGAACTCTATGTGGTACTAAGTCACTCATGTATCTTACCATGCAACGTATAAATTGTAAAATATTGTAGTAAATCATTATAAATAAATGATTATGGTGTGTTTAATCTTCTTTCATTAATTACTACATATTTTCTACACTCGCAGTGTTTGCCAACTTGCTATATAATCAATTTAAATCAGTTAAACCCATCATGCAATGCATTTCCTTCAAATTTTTTGTGATAAAGTAATAGATAATTGACTAAATAAAAATCCTCCAAAGTTTCAAGAAAAATTTTCAAGTTTTTCTTACAATTTCCATGGTTTTTATTCAATTTTTATCGATATTGATAATATCCCGATATTTTCATAGAAATTTCGGTGTTTTTGGACTACCAATAATTCCGAAACCATCGATATTTTAGACCTTGATTTATTCTTCTTCGTCGTTCTTATTTTGTGCTTCACTTTTAAATTCATTATATCTTTAATCCTTTTATAACACTTTATTTCTCGTCATATCATTTAATCACATTTATATTTATCATAAACTCTTAAAAACCTTAAAAATCAAAATACAAAGCCTAACCATTATTGACCCCAAGTAGGAGAAAGAATGTATGCCAAGATGGGATTTCTTGTTTGGCTGAACAATCAGTTGATTAGAAGTTAGAAGCGCTATCACATTGCTTAAAATCTTTCCATCCAAATCATTTGATAGCTTGGTAGTGGCATGTCCACATAACTCAAGCAAAGGAGGACCAAAACTCCTTCAAGCACTAGTTTTTGTCCAAAAAGAGGGAAGCAATGTGCATAATCTAACATACAAGGAAGGAATAGGTGAGACATGCAATCGCACTAGTTTTTCTTTCTGTGCCAGTCTTTATACTGACTAATATGAGTACGAGACTATCTTTCTCAACAGCTTAAAAACACATGGAGTATGCTAGCTAATAAATAATATATTCCCTGAAATCAGTATTGTACGTAAGATTAAGAAATCTCACATCCTCCCTCACAAAAGCCTCACTTGTCTACCAAAAATCCAACTGAAAGGTACGGACATGGGTGGTTGCTTGGTCCTTGCTTGAGCTCTTTCCTCTAGCTTTCTTATTCTCGGTGGCAACCCACAAACAAACTCTTGAGCCTTTCGGCCTTCAGGTGAAAGTCCGACAAGGGTTTCTACCTTCCACGTGGCAAGCAACGACTCCAATATATCGGCATAGTCATTGGCGGTATAGACACCTAACTGCTGCGCAACACTGGAAAAGTGTTGAAAAAGGTGGTCATCACGGCCATCATACATCAAGTGAGCTGGCATGGTGATTTTCTTCCTCATCATGTGAGCTAAAGAAATGACAGTATAATCAGGATCCAACTCAAAGAGCTTGGTCACAATCTTGGTGTAGGCAGCCTCATGGCGCTTCTCATCTGAGGCTATTATGCCGCATATTTGTGCCAACTTCAAGTCCCCATGCTTCTTGGCAAGTTTGGCAGTGTTCCCATGAGAGATAGCGGTAGCCCTTTCCTGGAATGAAGTGAATATGAACCCCAAGTAGGGATTGTTCTCTCCCCCGGGATCCTATGAATACGTACACATATAGGTACATTTATACATGCAGGTTAAGTATACACAAGAAAATTCAGGGCCTAAATAACATGTTTTTACCCTACAATCAATGTTTAATAATTTCCCATTAGACATTAATCTAAATTGAGCTTTCAAACAGTTTTCAGTTTTTTACTTTGTGTACACTTGAAGACTATATGTGTTAATATACTAAACATGTTTCAGATATTCAGTTTTATTTAAAATAAAAACTCGAAACTCGAAACAGAAATAGTCATCAAACGGTCTCAATTTTCTATTAAGGAGAAGGAGATAACATTAATTGATTAATTTAATCATTAGATGCATATGAATATATATATATGCTTAAGGTGTAACATACCATTCCAAAAGTAATCAAATACTGAATGGTCTTCTCAATTTGGGACATGTCGACTCGTCCGGTGAGATAGAGATACTTATTAAGAAGGTCACCATGCCTTTTCTCTTCAGCAGTCCAGGCCCTGGTCCAGACTGCCCAAGAAGTAGGGCTTGAACCTGTTTCATCTGCAACTCCATCCAAAGTGTTGAGCATTGTTTGGTAAGTGGGAAGGGCGTCCTCAGTGATCATATTTCCCACCAAAACAACAAAGAAATCATCTGGAACCTCCTTTGCCCTCTCCCTCAGTTCCTTGACTTGCTCATGAAAACCGTCATCTCGGGAAGCCGCTGGATCAGGCAGAAAATCTTGAGGTTGCCAGCACTTTTCAACAGGTTTCAAGTGAGTTAAGATGTTGTCCTTAGCCCAGTCGTCTAGGGATTTAAAGATGCTAATTTTTTCAGGTGGCATGGAATGAGTGATTTCTTGATAAAGCAACTCTCGCCGAGGCATAAAAGCCTTCTTGTAACTGTAATCCCTGTTAATCTTCTCATCAACCTTCAGATCTCTGCATACATATATTAATATATATTAGTAAAACAGACAAATATATGGATAAGATAATAAAAAATAAAGCAAATTAAAATTGTCTCACTTTGAAGGTGCAGGGCTGGATGAGCCCGTGAAGAACTTGGGAGATGTGAGGCAGCTGGTGATCAACATTGGCGGGAGATGAAGATGACATCATCCTCTTACAGTGAGTTAAATATTAAGGAAAGATACTTTGAGTTAATTAAATCCCTAGCTAACCTACGCCCAACCCAACCAAGCAAACGAAACAACTACTTAACAATCTTCCCTCTAATTTGGGAAAACAAATCATGCGTTGTGTGTGTGGCATAAATACGAAAGCTCATGCGTTGGGAAAACAAATTATGTTATTTCATGCAAAAAATGCTTTGTTGAGAATATTGTCGCACGTTTGGAAATGGGCCTATCTACTCATTTTCAATTGATTTTAAATTGAATTACTCTAAATTGTTACAGAGAACCGGAAGAAGTCTTTCTATGACTCTCCCTCTTGCGAAGTGGACATGAATCAAATTGAAGACTATTATGCCTCGTTTGTTACACAGGATTGTCTTGACATTGACTTAGGAACTGTCTTAGCTTGGCTTGACTTGGTTTAAATTGGATAACACAAATGTGTTTGATGAAAACTTGGACTAAGACTAGATTTTTTTATTTTCCAAAAATATATATATGTATATATGTATAAATACATACATTATATATGTATATTATAATATATATATATATATATATAATATATGTATATACTGTCTTCTTCTATTGAGGGAATCCTTATTTGATGGACACTCTTTAGGGTATCGTGCAAATTTTTTATCAACAATCCAAACTGTCTTTTTTGCAAGTCTTCATTTATAGATCATCTTTGAAAAAAAGACAAATCGGAAACCGTTTCAACCTCCAATTGTGTCCTACAAACTCAATGAACATTGTGCTTCAAGAAAGTACTAAAATTTCAATAACTCAATTAAGTTGTCAAATAATATTGGATTCATGTGTTTTTTTGTAGAGATGATCGATCTTTAAATGAATACCTACAAAATATAAGGTTTGGATTAGTGAAATACAATACAGAGTGAGCCCTACAAGGGTGTCCCTCAAATAAGCTTATTTCAGGGTTCCTTCAATGAAAGGTCTCTGAATGTATATATATACATACATATATATTGAGGGATCCCTCAATCGAAGGGGATTGTATATATATATGTGTGTGTGTGTGTGTGTGTGTGTGTGTGTGTGTGTGTGTGTGTGTGTGTGTGTGTGTGTGTGTGTGTGTGTGTGTGTGTGTGTGTGTGTGTGTGTGTGTGTGTGTGTGTGTCTGTGTGTCTGTGTCTCTATATATTATAGGGTTAATGTGACAAGACCTGCCCCGAATTCCTCGGAACCCGGAACGAATCTTGTAGAAATTCCGACATCACCCCGATGCAGGGCCCATTTCAATTACTATATCCTCTATTCCAAAATTAAGGAAAAGTGGCACGAGACTTTCTACCGAAATTTCAGCAGTCTCCCTTGAAAAATGGACATTTCCCAAAACTTCTCAACTTGTCAAAACATATTTAATATCACCAACCAACAGCATGCACAAGATAGTTTCATGCAATTCACATAATCGGCCTCCGGCCTTCAAATAATCCGAAGCAAAACCACCTACCAAGCTCTTAAGTCAAATGATGAAAATAAACCATGCATTTAATGAACTCAAACTAATTTACGCATACCCACCATAATTAACACCAAACAACTTCCCAAAGTCCATCATGCGGTATTTCACAAACAAACACAATCGCGAGTAGATTAAGGACTCGACCCAAATCGTACACCAATCCAAAACGGGTTTCAACCCTAACTTGACGACAACCACCATTTAACAGCACTCACTTAGTCCAACGGAAAGATGAACATTTATTCAATCAAGCCTCTTTTTTTTTTTTCTTTTAATCGAGCCTTAAAACCACCGACAAGGTCAACACCAAACTCATCCAAAGACCAAAATAACTTGAGTTCGCGATTGCACCTAAGTGGGACCCCAGGCTACCTACGTACCCTTATTGAGGGATCAAGCCACACGTAGTTCTTTCATCCATATTCACGAACCATATAATTTACAATCATTTGAAGTATTATAAATATATTATATTCTAGAATTATCTTTCCCCTTTAATTTGAATCAAAACACACCAAACATAATTCTTGTTAAGCATCAATCTTTCCCAATATAGTATAACAATCCTTTATTCCTCTCCCTATTCTTTTACCACACGCCAGAATTCTCCAACGCCACGTGTGATAATCCATAACAAATCACACGGTCTCACACGTCGGAATATTCCAACGCCACATGTGAGACCAGATAATCACATATTCTTCCCATACGCAAGAAAATTTCCAACGCCACATATCGGAAGTGTCTCACACGCTGGAATATTCCAACACCACGTATGACCAGATAATCATATATTCTTCCCATATGCCGAAAAATTTCCAACGCCACATATGGGAAGTGTCTCACACGCCAGAATATTCCAACACCACGTGTGAGACCATATAATCACATATTCTTCCCATACAACGGAAAATTTTTAACACCACGTATGGGAAGTGTCTCACACGCTGGAATATTCCAATGCCACGTGTGAGACCATATAATCACATATCTTCCTATACGTCGGAAAATTTCCAACGCCACATATGGAAATTCCAATAACTGAAGGATGGTACTTAACATAGTGTAATCATATAACTTCCCACAATAATCCACATTATTATTTAATCCCAATCCACAAAAAATTCATCCAAACCCATCCACAATAATTTGACATAACACATAAATTCATTGCCAAAATAATTCAAACTTTCAAATCTCAAGTCAAACAATTTCCAAATTAAATATCACCAATATAGCTATATATGAATTTCTCAATCTTATTCCAAACTATATTTCATGCATAATCCTTTAATCATTTAGAATAGTGCATATTTACAATAAATGCTCACTCACTTCTTATTAATCATATATTCCAAATTTTCAGTATTACATAAACTTCAAATAACAATATAACATCTGATAATCCCCCAGTTTAAAACAATAAATTAATCTCATAATCCACGTAATCAACATAACTCAATATAACGGTCAAGACTCGTCAATAAGGTCATTTTAATCCTCCTAGAAAGGTAAAACTACCTCGGAAGACTCAAGGTTAACCAAGTGTCAAACTACCCAAACTTGGTCAAATAGGCCCACGACCTCCGATTTTCTATCCGAAATTTCCTATGGGTTCCACAAGGTTTAGGATACACATCCTGCAAGCTTGGTCCAGATCGAACGGTCAGATCCCTCGCGATTGCACGATCGGACGGCTATTGTAAAACACAAACTTTAAGTTATCGAATTGGAACATCCGGGGCTCCGATTCCCGATCCACGAATTACTACCCAATCCTAAGAATGTCTAGATTAACATATATTAAATTCGAAACAATCCAACGGTTCAAACCTATCTAACCCGGATAACGCACAATAGGCTAAATCCTTTTGGGGTTCCAACGTCAACCAAATTGGAATATGAAAGTGCCTACGTGCTCAGGAGGACCAGGAGATCACATCGGGACACAATGCCCCTTTTCTACAGTGCCCACGCTCCGGCAGGCGATTACGCTTTGCCGGAAAATCTCAATATTTCATATCAAGACTCTTTC